ATGGAATTTTTTAGCACTATATAGGCTTATAGTAGAAAGCTGAATCTTTACCCGGCGGCTTAGGGCCTATTTACATGGAGAAAAGTTGTCCCTTGTAGGAGGATTACCCTTCCTCCCGAGCCATCTTTTACCGAGCGTTTACATGAAAAACGTTGTCCCTGTTGACTGAGCTAAAACGTGGCCCTCTCGAGCTCGCGCATGTTCTATATATGTCCCGACTTGTCCCTGGTTGGTAAAACAACAATAGCCAAAGTGTTTATGTGGGAAAAAGTTGGCCCGCCCTCCCAGGGTCACCCTCAAAGCGAGTATCCCTCCACCCAAACGGTTCGCTGCTATTTATAAAGAAATGTATGAAGAGTTCTCTCGCCCGGGGTTGCTCGGTATGGAGGTGACCCTCCCGGCTACCAGGGACAACTTTTCTCCATGATATAAACAGGCCCTTCCATTCAACGAGGCCTATGTATAAGCGGTACAATTCAACACGACAAGGCTATGTTTTTGGCCTACTTCATGACATATGTGCCTACAACACGTGGTTCGTACTTCAGATCTTGCAAACCTCCGTGAAAAGTCTTCTAGACGTTTTCTTCAAATCGAATATAGTTGTCGCCAATTTCAAAATTATTCAAAGAAATATTTCTATGCTCGACAGCACGAAGGCCAAACAATTTTCCATTGTAAAAGTACACACAACATTTAATAAAGACTTAACTGTGTCCTTTCCTAAAAGTCCGAGTTCCCAGAACTTCTTCTCATCGCCGTCATACTGGTACTGGTAGTTTCTCTTCTTTCTTGTTCTTCAGGCCAAGTCCTAATCGTGTCCCCTCCTTCATCTCAGCATCAAGAGTACGACGAAAGATAGAAAATCTGCAAATAAACGACAACATTAAACTGAACCCAAAGTATCAATGAAGTAATGAATTGCGGTGCAAAATTAAATTTTGTTACCTTTGTCTGAAGTATCCAGAGGATTTAAATCAACATTTGATTTCTTCTCAACAAGGTACTGACGAATACCGCAAACTCTCTGGTACAAGGTTTTGGGAGGATAACTCCCCTTGGACGGCTTTGCCACCTATTGGATAAATTTTGTCAGCAAATATATACTTAAAGCTTACAGCGTCCATTTCAACTAGCGACACTTCCAAGGACTGTACTGTGTGAACGTCGTAATCTTTAAATAAACCACCTGGTTCCAGCGTTGCTACTTTTACAGTTCGAACTCTCTGCATGCCATTCTTCGAAAATTGAAGCCGTCCACTTATTTTTGTAATGAGTGGACTTGGGAATCGCATTTCAAGGTACCAAACCTTCTTCTTCTTCGATCGTTTTGGAGGGTCTAAACCTGGACTCAGCCATTTCTCCGCCGTCCGAGTTCAGTTTGTTCGCCTTGCATATTTTAAACGACCACTTCATCACCGCGCGGCAAAATAATAATAATACACAATACCGCGGTAAATTCAGATCGTTGAAATTGTGTGAAAACAAAGAATTTGATAACCAAACATGTAGGTGACATGATCGCATTCCGCCTCGCTTACGATGAAATTCAGACCATTTACGGCTGGTTTTCACAAGGGACATGAGAATAAATACAAGCAACATGTTGATCATTAGGGCCTTTTGTTAGAACAAAATGGTGCTAATGATCAACACGTTTTAACATGTTTTAAAATGCGTCACTGTATGTTGCTTGTGTTTATGCTTATGTCACTTGTGAAAAACAGCTTTTCATGCCTCTCTGAATAAGCAATGCTCATTTAGAGAACCGTGGAGGGATAAGACTTTCTTTGTTGGAGAAGTAATTTCAAAATCTCGTGCTTTGTATTTCATTGGGTTTCCAAACACTCGAAAACAATATAAAAATGCGGCTTCGTGCTTTCATCTGTTTCATGTTTGGAAACCCAATACAAACACTCGCACTCGTTTTTTAAACATTACGTAAGAACGAATGTTCCAATCTGAAACAATAGCACGCCTTTGGTGCCAAAGGAAATGTTTAAGAACAACTATATTTACATAGAATTTAAACTCCAATTTTTATTCATCCATAAGAAATAAAAGTCTAAAACCTTTAATACTTCCAACATATGCCCGTACCATGATGTAAATCACGGTAAATCAAAGTACACAGTAACACAATGGTTGCGAACTTCCATTTCCAAGTAATGTGACTATATACAGCTTTTTTCACAGACGACGACCTTTAAAAAATAAACTGCCGTTGAGATTTCTTTTTCTTTAGTTTTTCCTTTCCATTCCTCCGAAGCAACTACACGACATTTCCACGCAAACGAGAAGTGAATGACGTCACGAGTAAATGGTAATGACTTTCCGTCCTCCTCCGCGCACCATAAGGACTCGGTCCAGTCCTTCTGTGAGCTCAGGAACTCCATATATGTAATATAGTCAAGAGGGTCTGGATGGGGGGGGGGGGGGGGGGGGGGGTTCCAAATATCAGTTGTCAGTTAAAAATTAGTCCATTTCTCAGTTGTCAGTTAAATTTTGGGTCATTTGTCAGTTGTCAGTTAAACGGCTATTAATAATTAACTAAGAACCTTAATAATCGTTTTTGGCCCATTTTAGACCCCCTCAGTTAAGTTTGAACGTAACGGAGGTAATTATTTATTGAATCGGGGAGGCTTTCCTTATGAATAAATAAAAATTAAGCCAGAAATGAACACTTTCTTTCTTTTTATTAATAAATAAATTAATTAATTAACTTATTAATTTATTAATTTTATTCAAAACGAAGACCCCATCAATTTCGTGTTTCTCGGCTGGGCGTCTTACAAAGCCTTTAACCGACGGTCTTAGGTTTCAGGTCTTAGGCCTTTAATAGCTCTTCGTTAAAGCATCGCAAATTAAGGAGGTGCCACACTATACAGGGCGAAAGCCTGACACGCCGAGAACCAAACTTGACCTCTTAAAATTTGAACACAATCAAATGAAGACACAGTCGAAGGCTCCATTCTACTTGAAAATCCTCCTCATAATACAACATATTGCCCTTTAGAAACATACTTGAAGAAGAATAGGTCAGAACTAAGACCGAATTTAATAGAGAACGGCAAAATGTACCAATGTCACGAACCGTAGGAGTCGCGTTTGGTTCTGTCAACACTCCACATATGACATCACGTGGTCTAAAGTAACCAATTGGAAACACGGTTCGTCTGGTAAACGGCTGGAAGTAGGGCTAGCCACAAGCTGCTCGGCAACTTTTCCTTTTTCGGCAACTTTTTTGTTTTGGAGCAACGTTTTGTCAACTTTTTGTCGGCTTCGGTGCCGCTCGAAAGCCGTATCGGAATCGAGACGATAAAATCCCACGATTGCTTTTAAAGGAATCCCCGACTGTTGGAACAAGTTGCCGTTAAAGTGATAGAAAAATAATCTGAACCTAAAATTTGTTGAAAACCGCGCAATATTATTTCAGTGTTAACGAAAAAACTGGCTACAAATCTCTGCCATTTTAGGTTTCAAATTACCCGCGCGCCACCATCTTGGATTTTATGACGTTTCATGGTTGCCCCTTTTGTTATACAACAAAAGAGCTATTGTTTACTGACAATAGCGGCAACCACAATACGTCATATAATACAAAATGGCGGCGCGCGGGAAATTCAACCCCCAAAATGGCTGATATGTGTATCCAATTATCCCGTACAATTGAACGTCTTTCCAATTTATTTCAACAAATTTTCAGTTTAGACAATATTTCCAACAATTTAACAGCAATTTGTTCCAACAGTAGAGGTTTCCTTTAATACTAATGCCGCGAGCAGACATCTTTCCTTCGACCGCGTGGATCATGTAACAGATATGTCATGTTGTCATGCTCAAATTGCAAATTATTCATTTTAATACTTATTAACGACATTGGAAATTCGAGTCTGCTGTTAGTCTCCTTCCTTGCTGATTCGGTGTCGTAAAACACATAAATGATAACCGAAAAATATTATCTTTAAAGGGTTTAAAGAATATTAGGATCTTCCAAGCCTGTTGTCAGTTGTCAGTTAACCATGTTCCAAATGTCAGTTGTCGGTTAAATTTTAGGCTATTTGTCAGTTGTCAGTTAAAATTTTAGCCATTTGTCAGTTGTCAGTAAACCCCATCCAGACCCTCAGTCAAGGGCGATGTCACTACAAATGTCCTACACCTTTGAGGAAAGGTGGTTTTCTCTCTTACCCGTTCCAATTTAAATTTCATGTGATATTCGAATTCTACATCCCATAACAGACCAAATACGGTGAATCAGAAGACAACTATTTACCTACCTGTATTCCTGGACTCTGAGTAAAAAAATCATCTCCCGTTAGTATACGTATTATCTTCTCAGTTTCAAGTTGGACGAAAGAACAATAAGTCTGTATCAACAATTACCTCGTGCCAGGAGCATATCTCCTGCTCGTGCTCATTGCTATCACAGTGGCCTAATGGTTAGTGCGTTGGACTCCGGATCGAGAGGTCCGGGTTCGAGTTCTGGCCGGGGTCATGTGTTGTGTTCTTGGGAAATACTCACTTAGTCCCTTTTTCACCGGTAGCCGAAGAATTTGGGTACCAGCTGGCGTGTACAGCCAGGTGGGTAAAAATAACTTCCACCCCCCAACTCCCAAAAAACTCAGTGCATTTATATCGAGCAAAAACTTCCGTCATTCCCCCATTATCTACCCCACCCCACCAGGGGAGTGACGAGGATACAGTGCAGCCAGTCGTCACCCCACCCCACCAGCCCAAGGCAGGATACAGTGCAGCCAGTCGCTTTCCTCTGCTGGTGCTCCAGGTAAGTTGATGACAAGAAGTTCAGTTCCTGTTGATCTATCTTTCACAAGCTGGTTTAACTTCACTGCTGTGTTCATTCTTTCTCATATTTCTGCCAAGCTTAAAATATACCATCATTTCCTTCCACAAATTCTCATTCATCGACAAAATCTAATCCTAGCAGTATGCGGAATGCTTGTCACACTTGAACCTAGTTATATGGCCTTAGCTCCCACGAGTCTTCTGTAGCTCAGTGGTAGAGCGTCCGACCGGTGTGCGGAAGGTCAGTTCGAATCCTGTTGGGGGAACTCGGAATTTTTTTCCGAGTAGCTTGTGTCACTGACAGAATAATATCTTTCTCAAGAAATAAAGACCTTTACCTTTCCTAATCATACATTTCCTTTACAAGAAAAAACATTCTAAACTCTAACGAGATTGAATTGCAAAAATCGAATTTATGCTAAAGTGCGCGTTTGCATCTGTCTGTCCTCGGTCTTCAAGTCCAGTCCAAATATTATTTCACGTCCCAATCGATATTTTTCCCATCAGGCATTTGTCCCTCGTATGCTGACGTCACATGCCGTTTCAAAGATGGCGGTCGCTGTGTCAATGTTTCGCTGGTTGGATCTTTTAGAGAAAGAATTTGACAAGACCTTTGTCGATTTGGACATCTTGTTGGGAGAAGTCGATCCTGACCAAAGCGAAATAACTTATGATGGGAGGCAAAAAATGACACAGCTCTCCTCGACATTCGCTCAGCTTGTTCATAAAGCGCAGACAATTTTTCAAGGAAATGCAAAATTGGAGGTAAGCTTAGAAGCTAAGCTTGTAATAATTTTAAAAATGTTAAGCTTAACTTTTTAGGTGGCTTTTAAATTCGAAAAGGAAGATTTTATTTTCGCATTAGTTTAATAGTGTAGGCGACTCAACACAGAAATTCGGACACGAGCTGATAATTTTGTGTTACAATAAATTAAAATTATGAAGTTGAGCATTTTGATGAATTAAACGGAGGAATTGCGATGTATTTTATGTACGTTAATGTTAGGCGAACTTAGCTTTCTAAAGTTACATTATAGAGGTAAATTATCGTCAGTTTTTATGCTCAGTATATCTTATTTATATATTTGAGTTTTCCATTCATTAATTTCCGGTCACTATTGTCATAATTTGACGGCTTCACCCTGCTTCACCAAACACTTAAACAGCTACTGGTGGTGAATTTTAAATTCCCTAGCTTATATAAAATGGACCAGTGATCCAAAACGTTTGAAAATGGTTGTTAAGAAAATGTTATTATATTCTACCATAATTGAATCTTTCAAACTTTCCATTTCTTTGTACACGTTATAAAATAATCTTGTAAAACGTAAATGTGCCCTGGGAATATTCATCATTTGTTTGTACATTGTAATTATCGTAATTTGTCTCTTCAACTATGTATGATTCCTTATTTGTATTTCTGAGTGTAGTTTTGGGTAGATCACAGGAAGGGTTGTAGTCAATAAAGTAGATACAATAATAATATAGGGAAATCTTCACTATGGGAGTCTCTCATAAACAAACTGAAGAAAGTCTTTGATGCCATCAATTGGTATATAAACACATGACAGTAAAATGATTGAGTTTACACAGTTGGGGGAATAAGTACCAGTTGTTAACAAAATCCCATTTCCAAGATGGGACTGGGCCAGTAATTTTTGTCTCAAAGTTGCTAAGCAACATGACGTATCCTAATTGTGTTATGCCAATGTGACAATTTTTGGAGTACTCCTGAGTACTCGCGCTGTTTCTTGATTGCATCAAACAATCGGAAACCCTTTTAAAGTTTACTTTCATAAATACAAATTATATATTACACATGTATTATCAGGTTAACACATTCTTTTCAATGATTTTGAATCCCATGGGTACATAATTTGAAGTAATTTGGTAGGAGCTGTCTTCAATGTATTGCAGACAATGTGCATTTTCATTATTTTGGATTTAAACCACATAAATACAATTATTTCAGTTCGACAGTCACAAATTAAGGCTGTTGATGCCATGTCTTATAGCCAAGTATCATGCTGATTTCTCAGTTGACAGTGTATGGATCAATAAAATGCTAAGTTTTCCACTTTCAATACCATTATTATAACTTGATGGATATTAGATGACAGAAAGTCATGGCTGGAACAAAAACAACCAACAATTTTTGTTTGGCTACAATAGTTTATTCATGTGGGTTTTTTTTTCATTACCATGTTTCCGCTAATGGATTAACTCTCTACTTCCATAATTATATAAACTCTCATGACTACGCAACACACAGTCCCATAATCTGCTCCAATGAAGGGCCAATACTCAACACATCAGCTACAGTTGTAGTCTTATTTAAAATGGTGGTTAATTTACCTTACTAACTCTGAATTGATATAGTTTTTGGTTGCCTGCTGATACAAGATGACAGTTTTGTATAGAATAATCTCCAGTTGTTTGAAGAAGGATTTAAAGCTTATCCAGGATTAGTGCAAAATTTCAAATTTAGTTAAATATTAAGTTATTTTTAAATAAAAGTAAATTAAAGTATTTTTTCTCTAATTTTTTTTCTACCAATATTTTTAACTTTGAACAATGTCGAACTGACAGTACTAGTCAGAATAATACTAGTAGTATAAAATGCTTTGAAAAAACAGAAATGACTTTGTACTTTATTTAAAGCTAATAGGATGTAAAGCTCTGTGCCTCTTGTTTCCTTTCTCAGGCTGAAACTAGTTGCTCTCAGGCATGACTTAGTTGAAGAAAGAGCTGCCAAACAAGTGTTGGAGAGGGAAGTTAACAATCTGCTGTTACAGCTACATGCCGTTCAACTTCAATTGCATTCCAACACTGGAATGCCCGTGGACTCTGAAAACATCAAGAACAAAACTCGTATGTACATTTATTATACCACAGAGCATTTTAGAGTGCGAATAAACACCAAAACGATTGCAAATATGAGACCGTATTACAAAGGCGAGGGGGAAAAAAAAACATTGACGAGTAAAAATACCCAGTTGTATTCCACAACTTTCCGCTGAATAACCTCTTTGTATATGTAGTTACTAGCTCTAGATCTACTTTGTACATATTGTATGCTCAATAATTTTTCTAGCATCATAGGCATGCAATGCGTGCAGATAGCTACATGTTATTATTGAAACTCCTGAAAATACTATTATGTGAGACATGGTGTCTAAATGGTTACACGTTGGACTCTGGATTGAGCGGTTCTGGATTTAAGCGCTGGTCTTGATCATTGTGTGGTGTTCTTTCTCTCCACCCAGGAGTATAGATGGGTACCAGTGACAAAATGCTCGGGGGTAGCCTGCGATGGATTAGTATCTCACCAGGGGGACAGACTTTTAGCCAGAATTTGAAAAGTGGGCGTCCTGGAGGCATGTCCATCCATAAATTTGTTCAAACCTTGGTGTATTTTTCATCATTTTCTCCCAGGATTGGGCATCCACAGGACACCCGGATGCCCTTGTAGCTAAAAGCTTACAGGGGGAGTAGCAATACTCCTAGTTGGCTTCATGCTACTAGAATGAAACCGGAATACATGTAACCTCTAGCAGTATAGGCCAGTTTGCCCCGAGTGTAGTCTCCTACGCAGCCGTTATTTGTGTCGTCACACAACGCTTCTCCCACTAACGGCTGCTCAAACCTGGACCACATTCCTTTCCTTTTGTTTTGACCGCAGTAACTTTGACACCTATCGGCAAAAACGTGACTGTTACCGTTTGCCGAAAACTTGCTAGATCGATCCAATTCTTGAACTAGGATGTCTGTTGTAATAATTATAATGAAGTTTTTTCCACATTATTCTTTCATATCATACATTTTTCTTCAGTAAAACCGTGTTTTATTTTGATGTCTGGTGTACGTCAAATTCAAAAGGCGGCATACTAGCGTGCGTTTGACGTTTCCGACGCTAAGGTCATGATAAGATACAATCTATGATTGGTGTATTTTGGCGTGAACGAGTTCCGAAAATGGCACTGCAACTGTGATTGGCTTAAATCTGCAAAGGAATGTGGTCCAGGTTTGAGCAGCCCTTAGTGGGGAGAAGCATTGCGTGACGACACAATAACGGCTGCGTAGGAGACTACCCCGAGTGCGGCTTTACCTTACCTGAAAATACTATAAGGGTCCCTAAATGTGTTTATTTATTTCACTGTAGAAAATATTTAGTAACTTGGAATGTTTTTCTTTAAATATTTGTTTTAGGAAAATGAAATGACCAGGTACAAAAATAATGCAATGAAAGAAGCACGCATGGAGTGCCAAGTAAAACAGTTGGAAAAAGAAAACACAGGGCTGAGGAACCATGTGTTTCACTTCAAGGGGAAGTGTATGGAGCAAGACTGGCTGCAAAGTATCTTGATAAAGAGCTAGCTGGAAGGTACTACCAAAGGACATCAAACAAGTTAACAATATAAAGACATTTAAACAGAGGATTAGCAATTATATAAGGCAGTGATCATTTGCTCAGTAATTTTATTTGTAATTTTATTTTTAGATTTATACTAATTATCACATATTGATTATTATTCTAATTTAAGTTAAATTGCTATTAAATAGTTAAATAATTTATTTATTTAGTTTATTATACATTGTGACAGAATAGCCCTATATAAGGGAGTCTCAATAAAGTGTATGTATAGTGTATGTACTGTCAAAATTAAAATCATACAACTACCTTTAGTTATTACATGAAATTTTTGCGACACGTTAATTTTACAAAATTTATAAGTTTGCTGGCGTGAAAATTGAGTGACGTTACAATGTATATATTAGCGCAAATTAAATACCGCCATAATATTAAATCACAATAATTTATTATCAGTCGTGATTTTTGTCAAACAGTGTAGCGTATCATAAGAACAAATGCATTTCATGACATGGCAAGCTGCAACCTTTTTCCATACAAATCTTCAAACTTTTATAAAGTCTTGCACTTAAATCATTGGGAACCACGCTCTTTGTATCTATGGGTTAAATGATATTGAATGTTTGTTTTCAGAATACAGCAAATCCAATTGCTTGGCCGTGACATGAGAGGCAGTGAACATGACCAGTTGTGGGAACCAAATTGAAGCAGAAATACACTTACACAGACATAAAACTGTGATCAGAGCCTGCCGAGGCCGCAAGGACCCCAACCATAAGACCCCAGCGCCGCCACCACCCCAACCTGAAGCTATAGATGAAGAAGAGGATGCTGAGAGTAAATCCAGGAAGAGAAGAGGCATCGGTGAACCCAGAACTGTAGTCATTAACAAAG